CTCAGGGCACTGCACACACACACACACACACACACACACACACAAAAAAAACAAAACAATAAATATATTGTACTTAATCCTGCTTAATAATCATTTCACACTTTGTTGAAAGCAGTAAATTCTATATTTTGATCAGCTGCTCCTGCTAATTAGAACAAGGACAAGTCCAGTTTATCTTCTGGGGTTTTAACAAGTGTATGAAAATTTAGAGTGGTGATGTGAAGTAAAGGAGAGGTGATCATCGGCGACATTGGATCTGTATCTGGATCTGTTCTCTGTGGTGTAGAGAAAGAGGACTGATCTAAGAGCTGCTTTGAGTGTTTTTTTAATTTAAAAAAAGTTTTTTTTCTTTTTGGCGGGCCGGACCGAAGTCACCCAACACTCACTGGTTGTATTTCAGAAAAATGTTAACCCATGCTTTAAAAAGCAAATGGAAGGTAGGAAAATGTTTCTGTTAACACAGGTGCGTCTCTCAAAGGCGTGATGCTTTATTACATAATGGATCACATTATTACACTTTAATTTCTAACAAGAACAACCACCGCACTTTGTAACAATCGCTGCAAAATGTAATATTACATAATGCAGAAGTAAGTTTTCTAAAATGCGTTGAAGACTTTTATTAYGTTTTGCCTCATTACATATTGCAATTTTAGTACAGTTTTATTATATTTTGACGYCAGATTTTATTACGTAACATATTGCGGCGTTTTTACATAACGCAGCGTTACATCCCTCCCCCACCCCTTGCAGAGTAAGTTGGTGGCAACCTGGYGTTGACCTTTACCTTTGAGTCGGCCGTCAAAGTGAGGGTTCGTTGCCACTTTAAGGCCAGGGTGTGGCAACAAGAAGCAGCTGATGTTGGAGAAGCAGGAGTGGATGTGTTTTCGGACATTCTGCAGCTCCTCGTGTTGGTTCTGTTTCACCTGAACACAAGTGTAACTGTCAGTTATTAGTGACTGAGAGGATTACATGATAGCACTTACATTTCAGATATTCTGCAGCATGCCGTGTAGATTACTATCCCCGGTGGCAAATGGATGAGGAAGCATAGAGAGAGAAAGTAGAAGCAAGGCTGCAGGCCCGGCGCACTAACAAAGCCTCGCCTCACAAACCTCTGCACCCCAGTCTTTTCTTGGCTAACGCAGATCCCTCGTCAACAAAATAAATGAAGTAAGGCTCCAGATCACAACATCCCATACGGTCAAGGACATTTGTGCGCTGACACAGAAACATGGCTCAACAAATGTATACCCGACTCTGCTATCGAGCTAACCAGCTACATAAGCGCGGACTCCAATGCAGAGGAGGGGTTTCTTGTGTGTAAATAAAAAAAAACTGGTGCAAAAACATTAACTGTAGATGGCTACCTCTCCACTGATCTGTAATGCATTGCTGTGAAATGTAGACCCATCTTTAAACCGGGACTTTAGTGTGGTAATGATTACTGGCTGTTTATTCCACCAGATGCTAATGCTAACATGGTCCTGAGTCTACAGAGTACCATTAACAACCAACAGAGCTGCTATCCTGAGGAAACGTTAAATGTGCCACCGGAGGAGCCAACACACTGGATAGGGTCTATTCTAATATCTAGCTGAGATTCAGAGCTAAACAACTACCACACCTGKGCCAGTCTGATCACTTGTCATTGCTACTAATACCAGCACACACGCCTCTCCGGAGACCTGCTGCCACCACAATATGGAGGCAAAACAGTGACAGCTTACTTTGACATTCAAAAAGAGATCTGGCCCTGAAAACTAAAACATTGGGGGAAAAATAATACATTGTCCTGGAAAGATATAACAGTGACATTGAAACTTAACGCGATCCCCGATTAGTTGTAACCTTAAACTTTATTTGATAAACATATATTTTAA